CTAAACTCCACTGCTATTTATTACTTTCATTTTATGTCACCGCCACCACCACCACGACGACGACGACGTACTAGTACTACTACTAGTACTAGTACTAGTACTAGTACTACTACTACTACTACTACTACTACTACTACTACTACTACTACTACTACTACTACTACTACTACTTCTTAGTCATTTTGTTATTCTTTATTAGAGCTATTGTTATACTTTATACTTCATCAGTTCAGCATAGGTTCCTGGGCAGCGTGGTCTTCCAGGGAGACCTGGAGATCCGAGGTCCCGCAGGAGACCACGGGGAAGGGCTAACGAAGGGTTCCTTCCTTAAGGATTCCTTTTAAGTAAGGGTTTAGGGTGTAGGGGTAAGGGTTAGGGTTTGGGGTTTAGGGGTAAGGGTTTAGGGTTTGGGTGAAGGGGTAAGGGTTTAGGGTTTAGGGCTAAGGGTTCCTTCTTCAAGGAGTCCTTTTTAAGGCTTCCTTCTAAGGGTTCCTTTTAAGGGTTCCTTGTCAGGGTTGCTTTTAAGGGGTGTTCCTCTAAGGGTTCCTCTACATGCTTGGAAGGGCGCTCAGGGGAAGCTTTAAAAGCCGAAATGATTAGAACAGGGCTTATATAGATGGCGCTCCGTTTTCTGGTTCTGCAAGGCTTATTATAAGGGCTTAGGCTGAAAGGGTTTAGGGTTTGGCTACAGGTTTAGGGTTTGATTTGGAGTTTAGGAGCTTGGATTGCAGATTCTTGCTTATGTGGTTGGTTTCACCAGACTTGTAAAAAGAGGATTTCCAAGGTTCTTGGGTCTTTTCAAGGCCTGTATGTTTTTTTTAATAGGGGTGCTGTAGGGTTGCATAAGGGTGTTATGATAGCTTTGCTGTTAGAGAGCTTCGTTCAAGGTCTCGCAGGAGGGATATTTTCGTGCATCAAATGCTTTCCTTGCTTTGACAGTTTGAAGGTAAAGTCCTTATCCGGAACTCGGGACGGGGCTGTGCGGCTGGGTTGAGGATCACATGTTAGGGGTTGGGTCGTAGGTTTTTGATGGATTTCGGAGCAGTGTTGCTGGGTTTTGGCCTGCGGCGAAGTGCCAGGGCTGTTAGGAAGGGAGAAGACTCAGAAGCCCTTAGTCAAGGAATAGAATGATACCCAGACCCCCTTTGGAGGATCTAGAAAGTAGATGCCCTAATTTGGGGGGGCCCTATACTAGTAAGGGTACTTTAGAGGAACCCGCATTATGGGATCTACTTTTTGGATCCTCCCGGGGGGGTCTGGGTATACCATAAACCACACTGAGGATCCCGGGTAGTTCAGGGTATGCTCCTGAATTCAGGCTACTGGGTGTTCTATATTCTGCACCAGGAACTGACAACGACGGCTCTTGCCTCGTCGTCACGGGCAACTTCACAATCCTCGCCGGGAACCTCTCTTTCCATAGATGCCGGACACTGGGACTTCCACATGAGCTGCAAACCCTAAACCCGAAACCTTAAGCCCAGCACCCCAGAAATTTGGGGCTTATTATGAAGGCACATGGGGTCCAATCTTGTCATCGTACTCTGCCCCTTGTGTTTGCTCCTCTGAGGGAACATGTCCCGAGGGGTTAGGTGGACCATTTACATAGAAGTAAATAAATCCTAAACCCTTAACCCCTCAAGACGAACATCAATATGACCGATCCCAGCCGCATCCAGCCACAATCCCAGACCCAGCCCAGCCCGCCACCGTCCTAACCCCCAGCCAGCGCTCAGCCGAGCCCGACTTTGTCAGCGTTTCGGCCAAACCATTCGGTCAACACTCAGGGAGCCAAACCTCATACAAGTTCTATGAACACTAAATGCTGAATTTGAACACTGAACCCCAAACTGTAAACCTTATCCCTCCAATAGCGAGGCTTTCACAATGGGGTCTTATAGACTAAACAAAAACAGCAGTGCTCTTTAGAGGTCTCCTTCTCCATTTTTAAGGTTCACAGTTTAGCAGAGGTTTTTTTGGTTTAGTCGCGCGAAGGGGGTTTCGGAGTCTCATACACTGTATGTAGGATCTCGGCGATACGCCCCAAAACTTCGAGCCCGCCTGATAACCTGAAGCCTGAAACGGAAAAGGCCCTAAAAACGCTCAGGGAAGTTTTTCGACAACTTCAAAGATTCTTCAAACCCTAGTGGAACCCTTAAAAGACCCCTTGAACAAACCTTGTGCCAAGGAATGGAGCCGCCACGAGCACCATGGGTGGCGGGCTTCACGTGAAGGGCAACATGGACCTCCTGGACGGGCTCGTCAGGTGGCTGTGGGGGTGATGTTTGGCTTTTAGGGTTAAGCGTTTAGGATTTTAGGGCTTTTGTAATGCTGAGACCATCCAAAACCCGCGACAGGACCTCAGAAAATCCCATCAGAACCCTGTTGAAACAAGCCCTAAACCCTAAACCTTTTTCGATTCAGCCCTAACTAAACCTAAACCCTAAGCCTCTTTTAAAGCTGCCCTGTCTAAACCCTAAGCTTCTTTTGAAACAGCCCAAGCCCTCAGCTACAGGTTCACGGACTGCTACGCTTGCAACGTCGCCTGGAAAGAGGAGAAGGGAGAGGGAGGTGCTTTCTTGGTGGAAGGCGGGGTGGCTTAGGGTTTAGGTGTTTATTGTTTAGGTGTTTAGGGCTTAGGGTTTAGGGGCTTCTTGGTGGAGGGCGGGGGTTCTCCCCTAAACCCTTCACCCCTTAACGGCACCCTAGGAAGGAACCCTGAACGGCCCCCTGAAGGAGATGAAGGCAGTTCTCGAAATTAGGGTTCCTTTTAGGGTCCTTTTATAAGGGTGGGGTGTGCTATGCTGTTGCTAGCCAACACTGCCGCTGACACGTTTACAAGAGCAACCACGGCTACCAGTACCAGGTATACCTAGTAGTAGAGTAAGTAGGTAACCTTTAATCCGTATACAATCACTGTATATCCAAAAAGGTTAAGCTTTAGTTCCCCATGATACCCGACAAGTACGCATTCAAAATCTTTTATTCATTACCATCCCACAAAGGGTCAGTAAACAGGAAGCTTAAACCCTGCGAAACCCGAGCCCTAAACCCTTAAATCCTAAACCCTCAGCCCGAACCCTGAACCCTAAACCCTAATCCCTAAACCCTGAACCCTGAACCCTGAACCCTAAGCCCTGAACCCTGAACCCTGAACCCTAAACCCTGAACCCTAAGCCCTGAACCCTAAACCCGAAGCCCTCCCCCCCCAAAACCGCAAACCCTGAACCCCAAGCCCTGCGAAGCCCCGGAGCCTCTCTCCCAGAGACTCCAATATCCCTTAATTAAGGAATATACCAGGGAATATACCTTAAAGGGCTCCTTAAAGGGATCTATAGGGGTTCTATAAGGGAATTAATTCAGGAATATACCTGAAATTGTAGTAGGATCCCTAATAAAATACCTTAAAGGGCTCCTTAAAGGGATCTATAGGGGTTCTATAAGGGAATGAATGAAGGGATATACCTTAGATTGTAGTAGGATCCCTAATATGATTTAAGGAATATTCCTTAATTAAGGGATATTGGAGTCTCTGGGCTCGACCCTGTGAAGGCGCCTACCGCCAGAGGGGTGGCACCCTGGAGGCTCCGATTCCCAAGTGGGTGGTTCTCAAATTTATGGTCCCTTTTTGGGTCCCTATTACAATACTTGGAAGGGCAGGGGACTTAGTAAGTAGGTTATAAGTAGAGTTATAAGTACCCCAAATGGAGTTACCCCAATTATAACCCTACTTATAACCTACTTACGAAGTCCCCTGCCCTTCCAAGAACGGCACCTACAGTTTCGGGTACCCCAAAAGGGACCACATTTTTGACAACCACCCAGGTCCTGCCAACAGCCCACGTGCATAAACTATAGTAATATAATAGCGTGCACATAATTCAATATACGAGTAATACAGCATACTGTGGTATAATGTTTTAAAAACACAGTTGCCCATAATGTGATATACTAAAATGTGGTACAAAAGTAGAGTATATCATATGATCTACCAAGCCTTACACCGTAGTCCCTACAGCCCTAAACCCTCATCCCTACACCTTAAACCTTGCAACTAAACCCTCACCCCATGTGGGAACAGATGTGTGATTTTCAGAAGCTAAGGGGCCTCATAGGGAAGACCCTTAAGAATAGGTTCCTTACTATATGGACCTGTATAAAGTAGGGCATCTGCAAGCCTCAGTCTTGCCTGCAGCCTTAAACCCTAAACCCTAAACCCTGGACCCATTCCCTAAAAAAAGTAGGCAGAGGAGCTGAAAGACCCAGGTGACAGGTGCCTCAGTCAGTTTTCCAGTTGGTTTTGGGGTGTGTTAGACCCTTAACCTCTAAACCCTAAAGCCCATATAAGTCCTAAGCCCAAGAAGCCCCAAGCCTGGCTCGGGTTCGTGGTGTGGGTGACCATTAGCTTGCTTGTCGCCGCATCCTTCTTGTCTTCATCCTCTGAATCTGTTTTGGGGGCTTTCAAGAGATGGGATCTTCTCATAGGAGGCCAGAGGGGGGTTTAGCCTATGGGGGTTTAGTAGGGATTAGGGTTCCCATAATAGGGTTCATATTAAGGAATCCCTACCCCAAGAATCTTAAACTCCTTTTGGCCTCCCATCATCTTGGTTCAGAGGTTTTACATGGTTTTTATTGAGGGACCCAACACGCGCATAAACACGACACTAAGATCTCCGACTCATGGACCTCTTTCTTTACATTAAGGACCCCATTCAATGCCCTATGATTGTGGGAGGGAGGGGGGGTTCCGGGGTTAAGATTCGTACTGCGTCACATTGCGAGCTACCCCCCCCTCCCCCTGCATACGCATCTTTTTTAAGCGTCCTCCTGCGCTTGTGTTGGCTTGTAGAGGGGAGGTCGAGCCAACCCAGAAGCCTGAACGGCACAAGCATGGGCATGGTGTCAAAATGCTCCCAGAGACGAGGGCATCCCTGCACGCAGAATCAAGTCCACACGCTTTCTGATTCTTGCCGTTTTAGTTTGTTGACTCTCTTGTGCCGATGGCGACAGCTAGCAGCTTGCCGCTGCTGCATGCAGCCGACCCAAAGCGTGTCACGGTAAGTCCCGGCACGGGAGACGAAAAGGTTCTCAAGCTTGACGGTGAGGAAGTGGTGCTGCTGCTTACCTTGAGTTAGTAAGCAATGGGAGAATTGGTAGCAATAGTAGTTGTTATTGTAACCCATTCCTCCATTCCCTTCTAACCCAAAGTAAGGCTGGGGGGCAACTACGTTTTAAAGACGCAGCCCTACTTCCCTCCCAAAGAAGTCGTGCTTGCCAATGCCAAGCAGATGGCCGAGGGTCTGAAAGCCTCTGGGCTGTTGTTAAGGGACTTCGTTTAAGGTACCATAATAAGATGTATAGGCAATAGTATGGCTAAGGGATTTAATTAAGTTACCATAATAGAGATCTAAAATCAATAATATGGTTTCCTGATTATGGAAACTTAAAATTAGTTCCTCAACAAGAACCCAGGCTTCCGGCTACACTCCCAAGCCTGCTGCAGATGGAGCTCCTCGAACAGCGAGGCCCTGTGTTCGCTTGGGCTGCATGTGGGCGGGTGCAATGCCGAATTCTGCGGGCCCAGTGGACCCCGCGTGGGCTGCGAACCTCAAGGCCACCATCGAAGCCTTTGCTGAACATGGGGTTTACGTCTTCCTGGATGCGCACATGGATGCCTTTTCCACGACGAACGGTGGTGATGGCTTCCCTTGGTGGGTTGGGGGCCACATGCAGAGCAACGTGACACGTGAAAGTGCCAGTGGCAACTGCTGTTGCTGCACTACACCGTCCTACATCACCAACCCGCAGAATCCCATGACAATTGTCTGTCCTAGCTGGTTGGCATGCTGTTGCAACATTCGGGGAGTTGAGACCCAGGGCGACGATCCCTGGGCGGCATACGCCGTCGGCACGGACCTTGGGAACCCCGCCTCCATGACGCTTGGTCAATGTGACAGATCCCGTTCGCTGTAGGTATCACTTTGGGTGCTTTGAGTTTCCTGGTATCTAACAGGGATCCTAGGGTTGATGATATAAATCCTGCATTATCTTAAGGACCCTAGACTATGGGAGTTATGGTATATTGCTTATTGTGGGTAATGCAGGATTTATATCATTTACGGTATGGACGGCATTTGGTCTTTCCGTGACAGCTACCCAGGAATGTTGGAAACCTGAGCATGAGATTGAACAACAACGACAGTGCCTGGCAAGCTGGCACGCTGGTTTGGGTAACGCAGGCGCGCAACTGTAAACTCTAAGCCCTACTTGGAGGATCATGAGACTTAGTAAGTAGGGTTATCAGTACCTTAATTGGGGTTAGAAGTAATTATAACTGTTATTACCTTACTTATAACCCTACTTACGAAGTCCCATGATCCTTTAAATAACCTCCCTGCACCCTCAACCCTGAACCCTGAACTCAGAGAAACTCCCTAAAAATCCTGAACACTCCCTGAACTCTAAAGCCTAGTCCTTCGGTTGAGCAACACAGCCCAGAGAGCCCAATGCCTCTTATTTAAGAAATATACCTTAAACCATTAGGGGCTTCATATTATGATTTAAGCCTATATTCCTTAATTAAGGGGTATTGGAGCCCCCTAAACCCTTCAACCCTATACATCCCTTATAGATCCCTTAAAGGAACCCTAAGTATTCCTGAATTAAGGGGGCCCCATTGGGCTCTCTGGGAGGTGCACAACTACGCCGCACGATTCTACCAGTGCGGCTCCGGAGCAGATAAGCAGCCGCTCTTCGAGCCCCCTGCCTTTGTGTGAAAGGGCCCGAACTTAAGGGTTTAGGGTTTAGGGTTCCCTTGAGGGTTTAGGGTTTAGGGTTCCCTTGAGGGTTTAGGGTTTAGGGTTCCCTTGAGGGTTCAGGGTTTAGGGTTCCCTTAAGGGTTTAGGGTTTGTGTGAAAGGGGCCCCAAAAGGAAGGAATCATTAGAATAGGATCCCTTTAAGGGTTCCTTACAAGGGATCTACAAGGGTACTCTTTTAAGGGATTCCTTCAAGGATTCCTTCCGGGGTGAAGGGGAAAAAGCAAGGTCTGAAGATAATTATTAGTAAATCCTCCTATAAATATACAACTAATATCAGTAGTAATATCCTAACAACTAGAATTACTAATAACCCTTAGGTGGCGTATGAGGGGTAGTGTATAGACCTTATTGTTACCCAGAGATTGCAAAAACCCTTTAAGTAGGGAATAGACGATAAATCATAATCAGAAGCCCCCTGCAAGTGTTCGGTCTATTCCTCAACTACGTGCATTCGGAGTCCCTAGGAAGGGGCCATAAGGGATATAAGACCGACCAGAATACCCCCAAACCAGAAACCCTAGGCCAAAATCACAAAACATCACTAACAAGGCCCTATGTGCAGTTTCTTCGTTTCCTCTGTGGCCAATGGGAGCAGCACTGGAACGTGGTGGCCGTGGAAGTCCTCAACGAGCCCGTGCTGGGTGGCTTGCCCAGCTGGTACCAGTTTCTGACAAATCGCCGGAATCTCTTCGACCTGTACGCAGCAGTGCCCAGGCGGCACGTCGGAACGCATTTGATTTTTCCTGTTGTCCCATGCCTGTACCTATTCAGTCCTACCCATATGTACTGTTGAGGGCTCCGAGCTACACCCTAGCCCTAAACCCTGAAGCCAAGCCCTGAACCAAAAGCGCAAAGCCCAAAACCCTAAATCCTAACCCCCAAGTCCTAAATTGCAACCCCACTGAGGTGCTGGAGGAGCTAGGAAAAAGCGAGCCTCCCATCCGTACACCTCTGGCGCTTCAGGACGGCTTTGGCTCCCTTGGGCGTGCCTCAGAAAAGGTTTTTGGGGTGTGTGTATACATACTTACACTACATTGTATTACAGTACAGTAGAATACACTACATTACATTACCTTACATCTCATTACCTTACATCACATTACCTTGCATTACATACATTTGTTTGTATCAGTACAGTCCATTTTGTATTTTTCGATTGTGCTATAGCAGATATATTTACATATATATTTAAAGAGAGAGAGAGAGAGAGAGAGAGAGAGAGAGAGAGAGAGAGGGAGAGAGAGAGAGAGAGAGAGAGAGAGAGAGAATTTCCAAGGGGAAACATTATTATTCTGCGTGGTAAGGAACTTGACTACACAGCTCTTGGGTAATGTTTCGGTTGTTTCCTTTTTGGGGTTATGGCTTCTGCTAAAGAGATCTCAGCAGTGTTCTGTAAGGGATTCTGGGTTGTGGGGCCTTGGTAGTTTTAACAGGGTCGGGGAGGTACACTAAAGTGTAAGTTGCACACGGAACCCTAATGAATAGTGTTATATGCAGTAGTAATATGTCAGGCTTCTACAGTAATATCAATGCCGGTAGGACGGCATACTGCTTACTATTCAGTTGCTAGTTACGAGAACTCAGTTCCTCGAAACTAAACCCTTATTGACTAAATTATGGGCCCTTATAGCATCCCGAAACTATGCTCATTAAGGAGAACCCAGCCCCACACTCCCTGAACCAACCCGCTACAATCCTTGAATTCAGTTCCCCACTGGGCAGAACCCAGGTGCCTCCTGTCTCATGCGGCTGCTTTCCTGCGTGCCGATCTCGAGCAAAGCAAAGAAGCTGCTTCGCGAGTGGGGGGAGAAGAACCAGCTGATCCCAGGTTGTTTTTAAGGAGCGGCTTTGTGGGGCTCTAGTTTTTTGAGGGCTTACACAGGCTTTGGCTTTGTAAGGCTTTTGCGAGGGCTTTATAGGGTTTGATGTAAAGTTTTATAAGAGTAGTATTCTAGTAAACAAGAACCGTTCTCTCCGTAGGTTACCAGAGGTTTCAAGAAAAACCCTACTCATGGAGTAGACTATTGTGAATGATATCTTACGGTTTACAGTCATAGTCCTCAATTGAGAGGTTTTGGAGTGTCTGTGTTCTCTAAACCCTAAACCTTGAACCCTAAACCCTAATAAACCCTTCTGACGCCCTAAAACCCTAAACCCTACTTGGAGGGTCGGGGGACTCAGTAACTAGGTAGTAAGTAGACTTATAAGTACCCTAAATTCCCATAAGATACCCTAAACCCTACACCCGGAACCCAAAGGGTTTCCTCTAAGAACTTCAAATTCCAAATTTTAACCTTAAACCCCAAACCCTAAACCCTAAACCCCAAATCCTAAACCCCAAACCCCAAACCCTAAACCCCAAAACCTAAACCCTCTAAACCCCCCGGAGGAACCCCAAACCCTAACCCCCTCAGGCCCCAAACCCCAAACCCTAAGCCCTAAACCCCAAATCCTAAACCCCAAATCCTAAACCCCAAACCCTAAACCCTAAACCTCCCCTGAGGCCTTAAACCCCAAACCCATAAGTACCCTAAGTGGGGTTGGAAGTGATTATAAGTATAGTGTTACCTTAATTATAACCCTAGTTGCTTAGTTGCATGATCCCTAAACCCTTATAGTACCCTTTATAGATCCCTTGTTAAGGAACCCCTATAACCCTACTTACTACGTCCCAAGATCCTCCAAGTAAACAAGAGCTGAGGGTAAAAGGAGGGACCCTTAATAAGGACCCCTAGGTATATACCCTTAATATAGCTATTATATACCCATTATATAGCCCCATTATAGGGACCCAGGGGTCCCCCCTCCTTTTCCCCTTTGACTAAACTAAACCCTAAACCCTGAACCCTATAGATCCCTTTAAAGGGACCCTTATAGATCCTTTAAAAGAGCCCTAAGAGCCTAAGAGTCCCTCCTTCCCTTTGACAAGAGCTGAGGATGCTCAGCTTCCACTGGTATCCAGGCATCGGCTGTCTCTTGGCCGGAGAGGTGGCGTTGGTTTGCATTTTTTTGGTTTAGGGACTTCGGGGTTTAGGGTTTAGGGGTCTAGGAGGGTTTAGGGGCTTAGGGCCAAGTTTAGGGTTTAGGCTGCATGATTGCATTTTCTTTGCACAGTGCTAGAGCTTGGGCTGCATGCAGGTCTCATAGAGGCTTTTAGTTACCGGCCTGGCTTGTTTTTACATATAGAGCTTCTGCAGGTCTATCTCGCAGCTTTCTCCTTGAGGCTGAATTCCTAATCCCTCCTAAACTCACTCAACTCACTCGCTAGCTCACTCGCAATGCGGTCAATCCTGAGCGACGAAGCTTGCAGCCCAAAAACGAGCCACTCCCAAACCCAAACTCCAACAGCCTATTCCCTAAACACTAACCTCTTGTTGAGGGGATACTGTAGAAGCCCAAATAATTAGCAGCATTATTCCCCAGAAATCCTTATTATAGTTTTCAATGTTATTCTAATCATTAAGAAGACCCCTCTGCCAAATCCTTATAACAGCCCGTATAGTAACCCTTGTAGTCACCTTGTAAAAAGGAACCGTATTCTGTTCATATACCAAATCCTCACAAACGCCGTTGTAGTAGACCTTATAGACCCCTTCAAACGGAGCCCTTTAAAGGAATCCTATTCTAATCATTAAGGCCCCGATCTTAGTGCGGAAAGGATCATGGGGTTTAGTAACCTGAATGGGGGTTTTTAAGTAACTGTAATTGTAGTTGCTGTATTTATATCCCCAACTACGAAGTCCCATGATGTTTTAACCCTAGACCTTTATAGATCTCTTATGGAACCCTTAAAAGGAACCCCTTTAAGGATCCCTTTAAGTTACGAAGCCCCAGGATCCTTTAAGTGGGAGGGGGGGGAGCCAAGGTTTGGCCCACAACCAGGTGATTAGAGCTCAGTCTTTCGTGGAGATGGCCAAGGAGGAGTCGAAGGAGCTCACTGAAAGGGTCATGGGACTTCGTAACTAGGGTTATTTATAATTACGGTAACTGTACTTGTACCAGCTTAGAACCCCAATAGGGTTATAATTACGGTAAATATACTTATACTTGCTCATGACCCCAATTGAGGTAATTATAACCTTCCTTACTAAGTCCCATGATCCTCCAAGCAGAGAGAGTTGAGGGGTTTAGGGCTTTGGAACACCGAAGCCCAAATCCCCTACTTGAAGGGTCATGGGGTTTTGTATTTAGTGTTCTAAAGAAAAGGGGTCTATAAGGGTCCAATAAAGGATCTGTAGGGTTTAGGGTCTAGGAGGCTTCACATATCCTTTAATCAAGGAATATTCCTGAAATTATAGTAGGATCCTTGCCATAACGTAAGGTATCGTCCTTAAGTAAGGGATAGTGGAGTCTCCGGGTAGGTAGTTCTCTAAGTTTAGGATGCCCTTTTCAGGAGCAGGAGCTCAGGGTTCATCGGGTTCCTTTCAGGGGTCATGTAGGGTTTTGGGTAGTTCTCTAACTTTAGGACCCCTTTTCAGATCGCAGACTTGTACGGCACCCTGAACAATTGGACCTAATTTCAGAGAACTGCCCTCATCTCCCTTACGGGCCTTGAAGGGTTCCTTCCGAGGATGCCTTTAAGGGGACTTTACAAATTCTCTCAAGGGGCTATAACGGTTACTTTTTAGGGTTTTGGCAGAGGCGCTCAAACATGCTAAGAGACTCCAAAAGCCCTTAGTCAAGGAGTAAATGTCCCCAAATGGTAGTATAGGGGCCTTACGAAGAAGAAGAGGTTTTCGGGGTATATTATACTGTAGTTATAAGAGCCCCCGAAATCGTATTGGTAATTACTGAGGCCCCTATATCATTATGGCTCCCCTTACAAGATTTGAGATTTTGCTCGGACCTTCGGACCTGAACTTTGTTGGGTTTCCTAAGCTTTCTGTCTCTCGGGTACAAAAAGCTCACTTTTAGAAGAGGATCTACGTGCCATGATAATCTTCGGACTTCTGCAGGAGGGAAGTATAACCTAGCGTCGAAACCCTAGCGGCTCTAGCGCATCTTCCGTCTTTTCTATGACGGGAAGTATGGCCTAAACCCTCAACCCTAAACCCCTAAAGCCCTAGAGCGTAAAATCCCTCAAGGGTAGACGTGGCTAGTATAGAGGTCTAAATTCTACATAGTTGGTAGTAGTTTGCCATGAAGCCTACCCATGTACTTCTAGTATCATATACCCGCGACATGTCTTATTCCTGTGGTTAAAGCCTTACATTTGCTTACAGAACCTATACAATCACTATAGCAACCTACAGTGAAGCCTGCAAGCATACCATCAGACCTTGTTCTAGATAGGAATAAACCCCTCAAAACCCCTAAACCCTCAACCCTAAATCGTGCCAGAATAACTTCAAGCTTGCAAGAGCACTGAGGAGCTCATGGCTTCGTCGCCCCTGTTCATGTCGGAGTTCTACATGCCTGACGGAGATACTGGGTAGTGTTGTTCAAAAACATTGTGTGTTGTTTCATAGCTTTTTCATGGGGCATCGTAAGGTTTTTTGAGTAAAATATGCTTCGCGCTTGAGGGGTTTGGAAGTTTTTGGGTGTTTCATAAGGTCTTTGAAGAGGTTTTAGAAAGGCGTGTTGTGGAGGATTACAAGTAAGTTACACTACGTATAAGAAAGCATATCGCTAACCGATATCATTAACCGCTCAGGTACGGCCCCCATACAGTAAGAGTCTATAATAGGGCTACTATTAAGGTCCGACTATATCTATATTATGAATCTTATTCAACTATTACTGAGTGGGGGCCGTACCCAACATTTAGCAGATGTTGTTATTCGTGCGCTTTAAACGAAGGTCCTCAACGAACAACCCCGTGTAGTGGGCTCTACAAACCCTGAATCTATCAGCCTCTAATACCCTAGAGCCCAGGAGACTTTGGCATGGTTTCTGGCGCGTTTTGCGGACCTCGGCTGCTCCTCCAGTACCTACTGGCAGTATGTGGACACGGATTACACCCAAACCAGCGGATGGTACATGTATCCGCCCTCGGTGACACAGTATGGCGAGCCCATCAGCAGGAGCCTGGGTGCTTACTTTTTCCGGAACTTCATCTCAGGGCCCATAAGGAGCTCAAGGGTGCTATAGGGTTCTTTAATAGGGTTCCATTTTTGGGAACTATAGGATTTTAAGGGTTTAGGTACAATAAAGGAAAGCACGTTATGTACGGTAGTTCCATTGATGGTGGCTCACATCAAGGCCCTTCTTGAAGAGCCGTTGAGAATCCCCATGACCAGCTCCTTGAAAGACCCTAAACTCTGAACCCCTAAACCCTGAACCCTACCTTAGTCCTAAGCTACCTTTTTAAGGATTTATATAAAGAAATCATATGAGGGAACCCTAAAGAGGTAGGTTCCTTAGGGTCCAGGTAAACCCTACTTGGAGGATCATGGGACTTAGTAAGCAGGGTTATAAGTACGTTTGTTGGGGTTATAAATAATTAGAACTGTAGTTACCTTACTTATAATACCAGCTACAGGGTCCCATGATCCTTGAAGTAGACCCCAAACCCTAAACCCTTATAGTTCCCTATAGACCCCCTTAAGCGGATCCCTTAAAGGAGCCCCAATTACTAAGGCCCATGACCCTTTAAGTAAACCGAAAGCCTCCCAAGGGAAGGCGACGTCAACCCGAAGGCTTGGGCCGCATATGAGAAGACCGTGGCCGATGGCAGCTACTGGGGTGGCTTGGTCTTTCTGCCCAGAGAGCCAAAAAACCCCTTCATTAAGGAGTATATAGGACTTAGGGTTCCTCTAAGGGATCTATAAGGTTTAGGGTTTAGGGTTAAGGATTTTATCTTAAATCACTAGGGGCTTATTATTATGATTTAAGAGCTATATCCCATTCCCCCGGACAGGTGGCCTGGTGTGTGGCGCCGGGGGCGGCCAGAACAACGTCTTGTCGAAACTCCACTCCTCCAACATCTCTTCCCCAGATCCCCCCTCACCCCCTCCTATCCCTTCGCCCCATCATTGGAGTTAATATAGGGGCCATCCGGGCTACAAGATCCAAGGCTCTTTGACTTTGAATTGAAAAGACTTGGAACCAAATGATGTATGGCCAATGTGCCTGCGCAAACGGCGACTTCGTCTGATTGATGAGCGCGGTCTTACACAGCTCTGAACCTTCTGGCATTCTTTCGCCCGCACGAAAACTGGCGTTTGGTTGCGACAGCCGCGACGAATCGGCCGTTTCGAAAGCAGTGAGCAGTGCAACGTCATGACATGAATATAGTATCTAACTAGATGCCCTACTTGGAAACTTTGGGTAGATATAAGTGGATTGATAAGTCCCTTAATATGGGTTATAACTATACTTACGCTACATGTAAGCCCACTTTTAACTACCCATGACCCTCCAAGTAAACCCACACCCAAAACCGTAAGAAGTGCCAAAAACCTCCTCCACTCGACTGTGAGAGGCTGTGAACTGCTGGACGAGCCGATACGCAGGTGGGGATATTGGTAATATCGGGGCCTAAATATTTCGAGGTTTCCCTATGAGAATTATAGGTCACTACGTTTTTCAATCTCTGTTAATGTAGAGCTCTGATTGACCTCGCTCCTGTTCTAGGACTGGTCATGGGGATCCTAAATCAATCAGGGGCCGACACCCTCAACCCTAAACCCTAAACCCTAAACCCTAAACCCTCAACCCTCAACCCTCAACCCTAAACCCTAAACCCTAAACCCTTAACCCTAAACCCTAAACCCTAAACCCTAAACCCTAAACCCTAAACCCTAAACCCTAAACCCTAACCCTAGACCTTGAGACCCTAAGGCTCTCGGACGCTAAGCCCCAAACCCTCCACATGGGTTCTGGGGTCCTTTTAGGGCTTAGGGTTTAGGGCTTAGGGTTTAGGGCTTAGGGTTTAGGGCTTAGGGTTTAGGGTTCAAGAAGGGTGCCGTGCTATTTTGGGGGCCGAAAGAGGGACCTGGATTTAGAGTAGTACACTTATACAAACCCTGTAGAAACCCCGATAGCTCCACTTTAAAGAAATCCAAAACATCATGGGGTCGCACCATCTCAGCTTTACCTTGTTCTTCAGGGGTTCCTTTTCTAAGGCTCCCTTTCAGGCTCCTTTCAGGGTTGCATTGTCCATGTTAGCATGCTTTCTCTCTTTCCACTGAATGGAAAGTGCCACAAAAAAAGGGTTCGGGCTATGACCAGGCGGTCAGGTTGTTTCTAGCAGTAGCGATTCGAAAAAATACGTGTGAGCCTCAACGAGTATTGCTACATCGCTTTTTAGGGTGTAGGGTTTAGGGTTTTTGCGGTGCTGCAATTTACACCCAAACTCTCAAACCCTGAACCGTCGACCCTAGACCGCTAACCTGAAACCCCGAGCCCGAAGCTTTAAACCCCAAACCCAAAGAACATACCCTTGATTTGAGTGTCTTGGCTGCTGCGATATTGTGACGGGCAGGTCACCGGGAGCAAGTTTGGGACATAGCCGGTGCAATAGGGTGTAGGGTTCAGAGTTTGGGGGTGAGACATTTACTGTAGAATCTGGGGTTTACGGTTGTGAGTACCCCAATCAGAGGTAAGCCGACTTTGGAGAACGACTAGCAACATGCCGAGGAGCCACTTACAAAGATAAAGCACGAACCCCTTGTAAAGAAAGTGAAGCGCTAGGACGTCGTGCAAACCCAAAAGCCGTCAACTAAGATATCTTAAAGTGTTTCCAGGATACCTCTAGAGTTTAGGTGTGTTCATTAATCTAGAGCACTTGGTTTTCCACGCCACGTCGTTGAAGGTTTCAGGCTTCAGTGTCAGGGGCCTCAAAAGCTAGGATGAAGGTAGGTGGGGTAATCCCAAATAAGAGTACAGACATAGGGGATCCTGCATCCCACCTACCTTCATCCCACCTTTTGAGGCCTCCAACAGTGGTAGTTCCGAAAATAGGGGACCCCAATATAGTACCCTAAATAGTAGGACCTTTTTTTATAAGGACCCCAAACTACGGTACCCCTAATTTTCGGAAACGCCCAATTCAGGGTGAAGAGCTTGAGGCTTTCGGTTTTACGGTTTAGTATTCCGAAAGTTAGGGTGTTCGGTTTAATATTCCGAAAGTTAGGGTACCTTAGTTTGGGGTTCTTATAATAAGGGTCCTAGTATTTAGGGTAGAGTTCTTCGCTAAGGCTTCTATGTAGGGTGGAAGTGTATTGACCCTAAGCGCTAAACTCTACTCCAGGGTGCCAGGGCCTAGAGTCCAGGGTTTAGGGTTGAGGGGTTTTGGCCGTAGTGCTGAAACTCTAATTTTCGAAACTGTCCCTAAGCATATCCAGAGACATGCTCGACATTGGCAGGTGCTTTCAGAACCAGAGACAACTTCGAGGTCTATGGTGGCCTTGTGTCCATTCGCTCCTCCCACTCCTTGCAGAAAGGTGGGCCAACGGCTTCTAGAGATTTTCGTTTACAAGGCAGAGGGTTTGGGGGTTTAGGGTTTAGGGCTGCAGCGTCTAGAGTTGAGGGTTTAAGGGGTTTAGCGGTTTGGTGTTTAGGGGTTTAGTGTTTAGGAACCCTAAACCCTAAACCTTAAACGGTTCAAGTACCTCTGGACCCCAAGCCCCAAACGCTAAACCTCAAACCACAATCCCTCGCGTCAGAGACGCTACTTGGAGGTTCATGGGTAGTTATGAGCAGGGTTAGAAGGGGTTTAGGGTTCGTTTGAGGGGTTCTATAGGGTTTAGGGTTTAGGGTAAGTATAAGTGGGCTTATAAGCAGGGTAACTGTAGTTATAGCCCACTCCACTTAGAACTACCCATGAACCCCCGAGTAGGGCATCTGGTTTCGGGTTTAGGTCTGTATTCATGTCATGACGTGCACTGCTGCACTGCTAGAATAACTCCACTTATAAACCTCCAATTAGACTGTAAACCGCTGAAAAGGAATCCTAGTATGGACCCTCAAACACCCAGAGACTCCACAACACCGGAAAGGGAGAATATCTTAAGTCATGATAAGAAGCCCTATATCATAGAAGGTCTGATCATGATCCTTAGTTAAGAACCCTATTACCGAGGCCAGGATCACTATATCCTTGTAGTGGCCCTTAAAAGCTCTTCCCTAAGGCTCCATGTACCCACATCGTATATACTTAGGCCTTAAAGTACCTATATAGGGACCCCTTTAAGGCTTAAGTATCTACTATAAAGGTACATGGAGCCTTTCGGCTCAACGGCACCCTTGAACTCCACACAGGTTTCAGGGCTCTTGAGTTTCGGGGGTGACGATGGAAGGGTACTTCAGGGATCATGGGACTTAGTAATTGGGTTTTTAGTAAGGTAGCTACAGTTCTACTTGCATATAGCCTTAATTAAGGTACTTCTAACCTACTAAGTCCCATGATCCTCCAAGTAGAGGTGGGTAGCGAGCGTTGGGGTTTAGGGTTGATGGAAGGATCGACGGGGGTTGCACGCGTTAGGGTTTAGGATCTCTGGTTTGGTTAGGGTTAAGGATCTAGGGTTTAGGGTTAGCCCCAGACCCCGTAAATCAGGAATCTGCTTTACATCATATGGGCGGTCTGCCGTAAACCCCAAACCGCACACCCAGCAATCCAAACCCTGGCGTGCTCTGGTTGTTTACGGCCCTAAACCCTAAGATCTTCAACCCTGAGCCACTGTTTTCGACCACTGCAGTCTACTCTTGAGAGGGGTCTCTGCGACGAGGGTTTACGGCTTAGGGTTGAAAGGAAAGGGATCCACAGACTCCACATCCTATTGATTCAATCGTGGGTTCCCAAACCCTAAACCCTAAACCCAAAACCCAAAACCCTAAACCTAAACCCTAAACCCTAAGTTCCCAAAATGGTCTATGTACTCAAGAGGGGTTTCAGGCTTGGGCTTAGGACTTGAGGTTTAAGGCTTCGGGCTTGAATCTGGGTTCTTGTCAAGGGACTTAATGAAGGCATAAGTAGGGAGTTTGCGAAACTTAGGGATACCTTATTTTGCAGTCCTTATGATCGGGATCCTACTACTTAGGGTACTATGTTAGGGTCCCGGGACTTAATTTAGATTGCCACAAATACGGAAACCATATTATTTACTACTATAGATCCTTAGAATGGTAACCTTAATTCACCCCTGAACCCCTAAACCCGAATAGGGATCCTGAAAGGACCCCATATAGAACCCTTGAGGGAACCCTAACTTATGGTAACTTCAACTAAATCCCTTAACAAAAAACCCGGGACTCGCCCGTAATCCTGAATCGACAGGTGGTAGCCTGATGGCTGACTATGTGAAGGTTGGCGGTTAAGAGCACATGAGAATAGGGTTAGGGTTAAGGGATTGGGGTTCAGGGTTCAGGGATTGGGGTTTGGGGATTAGGGTCTGGGATTAGGGATTAGGGCTGGTTTGAGATTCCTTAGGTTATGTGGTGCTGATTAGATTTTGACGTGTCGGAGGTGCATACGGAGAGGTCGGTATTTCGGGAGGCTGCTTTTGCAACAAGGGGCCTCAAAGGAAAAAGAGCGTAAAGCAATCCCTTTCTACCGCGCACCTTGCACAAGATGACGGTAAACTGGGACCCAGAACCACAAGCAAGTCTGAGCCATGGAAACCCGACAACTACTTGTTTGCTCAAGTCTGGTACCTACGCCTACCTTCCAAGCATCTTGTGCATGCGAAAAGGGTGCTTGCTGTTAGGAAGTGGCAGGCTTGGTGTTCAGTGCGTAGGTCACAGTGTTTCGTGGTTTATATAGTATTATGCACCTCAAACCCTAGACCCAAAGGCCCATCTTCATGTCAATGTTGATTTCTTTATTCATAAAAGGCCGTAAACCTGCACAAGCCCAGGCCGAGATGTTGCTGAAGGACAGACTATAGAGCTAAATAGCCCTTACTGAAGCAGTTACCTTAGATCATCTTGTGCTCTAAGGAAGATAGCTCTTCAAAGGGTTTCTGGGGTTGGGATTCAGGGGACACCGTAGCGCAACAAGACACCAATATCCGCAGTCATTGTGGGCTCTCTTGTTGGATCCCATAAGAGTCCATTCCTGCAATGAGGAGCCGGGAAAGCATCCATGTTTTCGACGTGTTACCTGGCTGGTTGTTACTCATCATGTTTACTCCCATCAATCACTGTATCTTTCAACTTAGCCGCTTGAGGGTAGCATTTTAAACCCCAGATACGGATCAGATGCCCTTTAACCCAAACCCTAACCCCAAACCCTAAACCCTAAACCGTTACCCAAAACCTGTTAATTAAGGAGCAGTGTCTTGAAATTAGCCACGTGCTGCCAGGTGTTCGGTGGGGAGCTGTCCATCCGTGATACAAGAGCAGAGTTCGAGGGAGGTCCCGGAAATTCCAATGCTTTAGGGTTTAGGGTTTTTTAGGGTTTAGGGTTGAGGCGTTACTTGGAGGGGCAGGGGACTCAGTAAGTAGGTTGGAGTTACCCAAGTATAACCCTACTTACTAAGTCCCCTGCCCCTCCAAGTAGACCCTAAACCCTAAACCCCATACATCCCTGTAAGGAACCCTATAGACCCCTTGAAGGATTTGGGTTGAGAGCTTGGGCTTTAGGGTTTACAGTAGAAGCCAGAAAGTTGGAATATGATTATCCTAACCCCTTTATGGTAAATTATAGGGGATCCTGCCATTATTCCATATTCCAACTTTCTGAAGTTCCCTTTAAACCCTGAACCCCTAAACCCCTAAACCCCTAAACCCCTAAACCCTATACCCTATAGATCCCTTATGGATCCCAATAAAGGAACCCTATAGATCCCTTTAAGGATCCCTTAGGGTTTGCGGGACTTGGGTTTCAGTCAGGGGCTTCCTTCGGGTCACACAAACCAGTCTGGTAGGGTTTGGAGTTCCCTTTAATATAGTACCCTGAATAGTAGGATCCTGATTATAAGGACCCGAAAATAAGGTACCCCTACTTTTCGGAAACTCTAGGGTTTTATAGAACCCTTATCGATCCCTTTAAAGGAGCCCTAAGGCCTTAACAGAGTTTGGGCTTCAGGCCTTAGAGTTTAAGGTGTACTTAAAGGATCATGGGACTTAGAAATTCGGGTCGTTGAAGGGGTCCTTTTAAGGGATCTATAGGGGTACTACAAGGGCTAGGAGGCTTCATATAGGATCATGGGACTTAGTAAGTGGGGTTATAAGTAAGGTAACTGTATTTATATTTACTTATAACCCCACTTAGGGTACCTATAACCTTACTTACTAAGTCCCATGATCCTCCCAGTAGAGTCTAGAGTTCAAGCTCGACTCTGCAGTACCTTGCCTCGGAACCTGATTAAGAAACCTTGGGCCTTCATTGGGGTTCCTTGGATTCATATAAGGAACCCTACTAGATGGGTGGTTGTCAAAATTAGGGTCCCTTTTTGGGTACCCTAATTTTAGGTGCCGTATTAAAATAAGGACCCCAAAAGGGACCCTAATTTTGACAACCACTTATCTAGAAATCTTGAGTTAAGTCCAAAACCTCTGGGGGAAAAGGCTTGGGCTTAAAGTTTAGGGTTTAGGGGCTTAGGGTTTAGGGTGTAACGGTTTTCGAGTGTAGGGTTTAGGGTTCAGGCTGCTTAACGGTTCTAGAGTGTTAGGTGTCTCCCGTGATGGTCTTCTGGTGTTTTTGCCGCCTCTGCGTGCTCTCGCGGTGTGTGTGTGTGTGTGTGCTTTGGTTGGGTCTGCGCACGCCGACTACTGAAAGGATCATGGGACTTAGTAAGTGGGGTTATAGGCAAGGTAACCACAGCTATAATTACCTATAACCCCACTTAGGGTACCTATAACCTTACTTACTAAGTCCCATGATCCTCCAAGTAAGCAGGTTGAGGAGCACTCTGTAAAAATCCAGGATCAGGAGGGGGCCTTTAGGGGTGATTCTTTCTCAAGAATCCCGATCTCCAAGGGTAAAAGGAGGGACCCTGAATAAGGACCCCTAGGTATATACCCTTAATATAGCCATTATATACCCATTATATACCCATTATATAGCCCATTATAGGGTAGGGCTAACCCTCGAAACCCTACAACCTAAACCCTCAACTCCTGAACACTGAAGCCATTGCGACGGTTTCTTCTTCGCGCTTTCTTTTGCTGGTCTAGCTATCCTTCCCCCTGCGCCCCTCTAAGGCCTGAACCATGTGAGCACAACTGCGTGCAGGAAACATAAGAGCTTTAAATAAGTAGAATCGGGTTACCCCAGATGGGGATATGTTTGCCAATCATTCAGACATGTGTTTTGGGGCTCCTCTTGTGCAGGTGCCATCAAAGCCAACTTCCTCATCGCCGGCGGCAAAGTCTCTATTCAAAATGCATCGGCGAAGAATGGAGGCAACTGGGATGGAGCAGAAGAACTCTAAGCCAAAAGCCCTATGCCCGAGATGCAAATATCAAGAAGTTTTCTGTTGCCCGAACTCCCTGACCCATTTTGATCCCAGATCTCGCTTACTCGTTGTTCGCCGTAGACGGTCTACGGTAGACCCATAACCTTTGCATGCATACGTACATGTACTCAAGTATGTAAGTATGTAAGTTAGTAGCAGGAGGCGCCCTTTCGGAGCTTTCGGCTTCGTTTTAAAAGGGCCTTAAAGGGATCTGTAGGGGTTCCTGTAAAGGGATCCTTAAACTATAGAAAGTAGATCCCTTTGAAAGGGTTTAGGGTTGAGGGTTTTTGGCTTCCTTTGAAAGGTTTAGGGTTTAGGGCTTAAGGTTTAGGGTTTAGGGTTTGCGGGTTTAGGGGTTAGGCGTCTAGGGTTTAGGGTTTAGGGCTTCCCTTTAAAAGATGTGTACACACATGTGCCTAGGATACGCATGCATTGATATGCTCACTCATGTATCCGTCTATGCATATATACAGTGACATACAGGCACACAGACGAACACCTTTGTACAACTTGTAGCTGCATACTCGTGCTGCATATGTCTACATGTCCACATGTACTTTTGTACAAGTCTTGGTTGTAGATATTTATCAATACTTTTGTATATGTGTTATATGTACATGTCTACATATAAATATAAATAAATATAATTATGTATGTATAAATATATATATATATATATATATATCTTTATCTTTATATGTGGTTATATACATGTATATATATATACACATACGCATAAAGGTTAAGACGAAGTCGTAAACTCTCAGCCCGACAGCCTGCATCCTAAAAGCCCGAACCACGCACCGAAGTCCCATTTCAATCTTAACGGCCCTAAAGCCTAGTTCTACTATACAGAGCCTTCATAGATCCCTTTCCAGGAAACCTTAAAGAAAGCCTACATTACTAGAGTAGATAGGTACTTGTAGGACTAATTGAATAGACCCTAGACCGTATCTTCTAACAGAGCTCGCCTCAATCTGAGGCTTTCGGATCTGCGAGACGAAAAGGGGCCCTAAAAAAACCGGTATTTTCTAAAGGCTCCTGTATTGCACCCCAACTTGCTGGGGTAATTCCATTTTGGGTACTTTTTTTTTATAACGTACTTACTAAGTCCCCTGCCCCTCCAAGTAACTCCTAAACCCTAAAACCCTAAACCCAGGTGGGATTCATGCATGGAAGCGGGCGGAGGCCAGCACTTGGGCTCTTGGGGGTTTTGGGCTTCGGGTTTTGGGGGTTTAGGGGTTTAGGGTTCAGGGTTTTTGGGTGGTGTTGAGGGGTTTAGGGGTTGAGGGGTTTAGGGTTTTAGGTGTTAGGCGTTAGGGGTTTAGGGGTTTAGGGGTTTAGGGGTTTCGGGTTGATTGGAGTTGGAGTTCTGGAGTCTGGGTTGCTTGTAGCCCCAAGCCTTAAGTGCTAAACCCTACCTTAACCCGGAATAGCCTGCATTTTTTCAGGACTTCTATAAGGAAATCAAAACAAGTAACACTGCAAGGTAGGGTTTTTCAGGGTTAAGGTAAACCCCAAACCCCGAGAGCATTTGTGCATGGGCGATTTGTGTGTCTGAGAGGGCTTCCACTTCTTGGGTCGAAAGGCGAGGGACGGTTCAGGTCGATATCCCTTAATTAAGGATTATTCCTTAAACCATATGAGGGATCCTAGTATAATTTAAGATATATTCCTTGATTAATTCCCTGATAGAACGCTTTCTAGATCCCTTCAAGGTGCCCTTTAAGGAACCCTTACAGGGTAAATTCCTTAATTAGGGAATATTGGAGTCTCTGGGAACCCGGAGTAACTGGAGCTTTTTGCTTAGATCCATGCAGAACCGGTTTTCGAAGCTCCTGTGCAGGCTTACTTGGAGGGGCAGGGGGCTTAGTAAGTAGGTTATAAGTCGAGTTATAGGTACCCTAAATGGAGTTACCCCAAATAAAACCCTACTTATAACCCTACTTACTAAGTCCCCTGCCCCTCCAAGTATGCTCCGGTAAGAGTGGGTTTTTCGGGTTTTTCTGGTTTCGGGCAGTGGTGTTTCTGCCAAAAGAAACACTCTGAACCATCGGATCATGCCCAATCCCTCCTCAGGTCATGTTCGTACCCGTATCAGGTTTAGAGTGTAGCGTTTAGGGTTTAGGGTTTCGGGCATGGGGTTTAGGGTAAAGCTTAGAAGCTGCCCCCAACGTGTAATAGTGGTATAATAGGAATATTATAGGGCCCTAATATCATCCTTATATATCCTTATAGTCACTATTACGGGGTGGGGGCAGCTTCTAAGGTAAAGCCCTAAATGACCCCATAAAGATCCTGGACTGAGGGACGAGGCTTACTGGCTTGAAGCTTGAGATGTATATGGGAGTTTCCGAAAACTAGGGATACCTTATTTGGGGCCCTTATAATAAGGATCCTACCATTTAGGGTACTATATTAGGGTCCCCCATTTTCGGAAGCCCCCATATAGAGGGCTGACTAAGAAACTGCGATGTAGGTTTGGGTCCAAATGTACACCGCAGTGTTGCAAGCAAGTTCCTTGAGAATTCTGGACGGGTCCTTCTACTGGGAAGATCAGGAGATTTACTAAGTAAGGTTTGGGTTGTAAGTAATGGTACACTAAATCCTAAACCGATATGGGTGGTTGTCAAAATTAGGGTCCCTGTTTGGGTCCCTATTATAATACGGCACCTATTATTTAGGGTACCCAAAAAGGGACCCTAATTTTGGCAACCACCCATATAGTTACCTGATAGAAGCCCCCACTTACTGAGTCCAAGGATCCTGAAACCCTCAAACCGTAAACCCTTAAAGTAAAAGCCAGAAAGTTGGAATATGATTATCCTAAACCCTTTATGGTAAATTATAGGGGATCCTACCATTAAACCATATTCCAACTTTCTGGAGTTCCCTTTATAGATCCCTCGAAGGAACCCTTTGTCAAGCCCGTAAATCCTAAGGACCCTTCGAGGGTCAGGGGGAGGGCGAGGAGGGGCGGGGTAGGGGGCACTAATGCCTATGATAAGGATTTACTTTAAGGAAGTATCGTCCCCTACCCCCTATACTTTAAGGAAGTATCGTCCCCTACCCCCCTCTCCCCTACCCCCCCGAGGGTCCCTAGGAGTATTGGAAGCCTTCAAGTTACGTAGTCCCATGATCCTTTACCCAGACCCCCGGAAAGATCCAACAAGTAGATCCCTTAATGGGGGTTCCTATAAAGTACCCTTAGTAGTAGAGGGCCCCAAATTAGGGGATCTACTTTCTAGATCCTCCCAGTGTCTGGGTAAGTGTGCAAAGCTTCCAGAGGTTTCCGGTGGCGTGATCTCCATCCGCAATGCTTCTGCGAGCGAGAACGGTGGTGCCCTGCTTGGGAGAACCGCGGGACTTAGAAAGTATGGTTATACTTGGAGGATCATGGGACTTAGTAAGTAGGGTTATAAGTACCTCAATTGGGGTTATAAGGAATGATAACTTATAACCCCAGTTACTAAGTCCCATGATCCTTTAAGTAGGGTTTTAACAGTTTTCTGCAAAGGTTCTGTGGGGAACCATCTGGGTTCTGCAGGGTGTTAGAGTTTAGGGGATAGGCTAACTACCGTTATAAGTACCTTAAATGGCTTGTTTTTATAAAAACAATTCACTACCGTTGTAAGTACCTTAAATGGTTCCTAACAAGCGGAACGGTGGTTGCATTATTCAGAGCTCCAGTTGCTGAGTTCCATGATGCTGTGCATGCGGCGCAGGCAGTTTTGGGTTTCGTTCATGCCCTTCACAGTTGGGGTGGATTGCATGGTAGGGCCTTGTTTCTGTTGAAGGGTTTAGTCTACTTGGCAAGTCTACAAGTACGGATACAAAAACTCATATATATATATGTACACACACATCAACATATATATATATATATATATATATATATATTGTGCACACATGCTACACACATATGTATATCTGCACACATGTATGGGTCTGTTCTAAAGTCTTTGTCAGCTACCAGTCCGCACAGTTCCGCATCGCTCAGATAGGGCTATATACTTGGAGGAGCAGGGACCTTAGTAAGGGCTCTTAAAGGGCTCCTTAAAGGGATCTATAGGGTTCCTTAAAGGGATCTATGGGGTTTTGGGTTTGGGGTCTACTTGCAGGGGCAGGGGACTTAGTAAGTCGTCTATAAGTAGGGGGTTATAATTGGGGAAACTCCATTTAGGGTACTCATAACCCTACTTATAACCTACTTACTAAGTCCCCTGCCCCTCCAAGTAGGGTTGTAGGCAGAGTTCATTGCGGTTTGACGGGACTCATAGGGTTTCTAGGATGGCTTGTAGGGTTTCCCTAGCGTATTGGGTTCTATGGGCATGGACCTCGCACACGGTGCGTGTGTGAACAGGCCACTGGACTGTCGAGAAGCCAAACAATCTGGGAAACGTTAACGCTTGAAACCTGGAAACCGAAACCTTGCTTGCTACCCCGATGCAGTAAGCTTCTCTTGAAGTCCTAAGGGACTTATATGTCTTTAGTATATGCGCTATCCAACTGTTGCTGAGCGGGCGCAGTATCCAACCGAAACCCCAAAACCCTCGGCGCGAAGCCCACGACACTTTCATATCCCGGTAGGGTGTATTATTGAAGAGTCGAAGCCTAAACCCTAGCACCTACAAAGGTGCGATAGTGGCGGTGCGGGGCCTGCGCCAGCGGGGTGGCGAGATTCGCCTCCAGGATGTCTCCGCGAATAAGTCTGGAGGCCATTTGGGAGTTTCCGAGAATGAGGGGTACTTTGTTTTGGTCCTTACAATAAGTATCCTCCTATTCAGGGTACTTTGTTAGGGTGCCCTATTTTTGGAAACGCACATACAAAGTAAGGGCTTCAGGGTTTAGGGTTTAGCTTTGGGCGCGGGGTAGTCTCCCATACCTCATAATAGGGCCCTATAGCTAGGAGTATCATTGCTAAACTCCTGGCTCGCATCAGAGGCCTTATGGATTAGACCAGGGTTCCTTTTCGGGTTTTAAAGGGGGTTTCCTGGGGATTTGGAGGGTTTGTGGCACCCAGAGACTCCAATATCTCTTAATTAAGGAGTATGCGTTAAATCACAGTAGGATCCCTACTATGATTAAAGGAATATTCTTGAATTAAGGGACATTGGAGTCTCCTAAACCCTAAGCGCTATAGATCCCTTATAGGATCCCTTTAAAGGAGCCCTTAAAGGATCCCTTTAAAGGGCTCCTAGGAGTCTCTGGGTTTTAGGAGCCTCCCAGCTCCAAGAAGCGTGAGCTGCGTAGTCCCGCGCTGGGAGGTCGAAGGACTTAGTAAGTGCTAGCCATATCATAATACGGTTGATGGTATAAATCCCAGGGGTAGCTTTAAAGGGATCTATGAGGGTACCTTTAAGGGGTTCCTTTAAGGGATCTATAGTAGGGTTTTAGGGTTTAGGGGCTGATGGTATAAATCCTGCATGGCCCATAATAAGGAGTATACCATAATTCCCATAGTTTAGGGCATTAAGGTAATGCAGGATTTATATCATCCACCGTAGGGGCCCGAAAAGGGACAACAATTTTGAGAACCACCCATACTGGGCTATACTTGGTTGAGGTATAAGTACCCTGAAAGGGACCTTGATTAGGGCTATGATACCTATAAGTATAGTCATAAGTACGCTAAAAGGGACCCTAGTTCGGGGTATGCTACTTCAAAAGCTATAAGTTTATACAATATCTACTTGCTAAGTTCCCCGACCCTCCGAGTACTTCTCCAGTGTTCAGGATTCGGTTATTTGGGGGTCCCAGTCGAACCCTCAACGCCGAAAACCCCCAATCTTAAATCGCAAAACCCCGAACCCTACAAGCCCAAACTCTAAAGCCCAGCCACTCTAAGCCCTAAAGCCTAATCTGAGCACTATGCAAGAGGCCCTCACCTCTGCAGCAGGATATGAACCCCCCTGATCAGCAACCGTCTCTCTTGTGAAAGACTTGAACACTAGGATCCTGGCCATCATTTCCCTTAGGAAAGGAAGGGGGTCTATTGACCAGGGCTCTGTTGTCGATCTCGGTTGTCGCTGTCACATTCCACATGCAGAATGTAAGGTCCCGGATTCTTGCCTTGAGGGTTGAATGTCCGAGGTTTTGAGTTTAGGGTTTATGGTCCAGGTGTGCTTGACGAAATGGTATTGGGTTTTGGGGAGTGGAGGTTGAGGGTTTGAGCCTTGACTACTTGAAGGGGCAGGGGACTTAAGTTATAAGTACCCTAAATGGAGTTATCCCAATTATAACCCTACTTATAGCTACTTACTAAGTCCCCTGCCCCTCCAAGTAGCCTGTCGCAAGTTAGTTATGCAGTGATGTTTGTTTTTTGCTGCCTATGGTTCATTGCATAGTGAGGTGGTCCGAAGAAGTGCGAGGTAAAACTCCCTGGTGCTTCGCAGGTGGGTAGGGACTAGTATGAGGGACCTCAAGCGACTATCATAGGGAGCCTTTCCCCGTAAACCCTAAACTCCAAACCCCAAACCCCACAAACCCTCATTCCCTACAAGGGTGGTTGTCACAATTAAGGTCCCTTGTTTTTGGGCACCCTAAATATTAGGTGCCGTATTATATTAAGGACCCAAAAAGGGACCCTAATTTTGACAAGCACCCACAAGGAGAAACGCTAGCCCGCATGATCTCTGTCGATATGCTCAAGCTCAGGCTTTCAGCTAGCAAGGCTCCGTTTCGTTCCCAAGCAGTTCAGGAATTACCTCCCTGAACCCTGAACTCTAAACGCTAAACCATGAACCCCAAGCCCCATGTATGCACCAAAAACCATGTGGTATAGAGGTTTGAATACAGGGTTCGTAATACGGCTATAATAAAATCTACCCCAAAACCCTATTCCAAGTATTCAGGCCGGTATATCAACGCCTCCTAGCACCCGCTTATGTAAACCCTACTTAAAGGATCATGGAACTTAGTAATTGGGGTTATAAGTAAGGTAACTAAAGCTATAGTTACTTCTAACCCCAATTTTGATACTTATGACCCCACTTACTAAGTCCCATGATCCTCCAAGTAATCCCTAAACCCTAAACCCCTATAGTACCCCTATAGATCCCTTAAAGGGACCCCTAAAACCCTACTTATACTAAGTCCCATGATCCTCCAAGTAGCCTCTAGACTCCAAGCGGGAGTACCCAAAGCACCAGACCGGAGCTGCGCATTAGCCTCGGCCGCTAAAAGCCCTACTTCCAATAGAGCTGTGGCGATGGCCCAACCCCCCCAACCCAAATGCCTTCAACCCTAAACGTCTAAACCCCAAACCCCCCGGACCCCTAAACCCCTAAATCCTAAGATGGTTCGAGTCGTTTTGATCACTGGCGAGCTGTTTGGCAGCTTCGAGCCATCAGCCTTTCCCTGCCTCGTGGCCACGATAGATGCCGAAACGACTGGCAGCATGGAAGTTTCCGAAAAAGAGGGGTACCTTATTTTGGGCTCCTTATAGCAAGGATCCTACTATTCAGGGTGCTGTGTTAGGGTCCCCTATTTTCGGAAACCCCCCATAGATGCCGACACAACTGCCAATATTCTGCTTAAGAAACCCTAAACCCCAAACCCTAAGACCCTAAACCCTAAACCCTTAAGGGTTCCTTAAGGATACCGTAGACCGTAGGGACCCTACATTACCTGTAGAGGGCTCGGGGGTCTACGGTGTTTAGGGTTTACAGGTTCGGGGCTTAAGAGGTTTCTAGGTTCAGGGCTTGGGTTTCATTGAGAGCCCTACATTACTACCTCTAGAGGGCTCAAAGGGTTTCCGGTGTTCAGGGTTAAAGGGTTTCGGTCTTGAGAGGTTTGGACGTTTAGGGGTTTGGGTTTTCGGGTCTTCTTTTTCAGGGCGCCGGGTAAAGGGTTTCAGGGCCATTCAGGACTTAGAGGTCCATGGGGTTCAGGGTTCATGGGAACTTTTCGAGTGATTGTGAGGGTCCTCTTGTCGGTTCTTTATAGCAGCTTGGGGATTCATGAGTATGTTGAGGGTGCGCTATAGCTCAAATTATGGTTGCCTTAAGTATGGTTTTATATAGATCCCTTATAGGAGCCCTTAAAGGAACTCTTGCGGATCCCTTTAAAGGGATTCTACGGTTGATGATATAAATCCTGCATTACCTTAAGGACCCTAAACTTTGGGAGTTATGGCTGTTATGGCATAATTATAATCCTTATTATGGGTATTGCAGGATTTATATCAGCAACCGTAGGAGTCTCTGGGTAGAAGCCTGAGAGAGGTTGACCCTTCCAGAAAGTGAAAGGTTGACCCAGGCGGAGGATCCAACAAGTAGATCCCTTTATGGGGGTTCCTATAAGGGTTCCCTTAAGGGTTTCTTTAAGGGTTCCTTTAAGGGTCCCTTTAAGGATCTATAGGGTTTTAGGGCTTAGGGTTTAGGGGGTTCCTATAAAGTACCTGTAGTAGAATAGGGCCCCACATTAGGGGATCTACTTTCTAGATCCTCCCGGGTGTCTGGGGAGCTGGCAAGCTTAAAGTTTTAACGGTAAAGCGACCCGCGATGCAGGGTTTAGAGTATAGGTTTCATGTGTTAGGGTTTAGAGTATAGGTTTCATGTGTAAGAGTTTGGAGTTTGGGTATGATGTGTTAGAGTTTAGAGTTTAGGTTTCATGTTTTGGGGTTTAGAGTTTAGAGCTTAGGTTTTTATGTTTTAGGGTTAAGGGTCTGGGGGCAGTGAGGTGTGGGGGAGCTGGCGCTGCATGTGGCATCCTTGCTTGGGGCGCCCAGCTGCAGTGTCTCGGCTTCTAGAAGAGAACATGTTTCTTGCTTTGCCCCTTCTCTTAAACGGTACTCTATTGAGAAACTCGTTAAGAGATCTGCTTTTTGGATGCTCCCGGGGCTCTGGGATTTGAACGCGAGAATAACCTTGTAAAGTCATGGAAGCTCCCTGTAAAGCCCTATACCAGAGCACCTCCTGATAAGAGCAAGAATAGGAAGCCTCTCCCAAAGGGGAGTAAACGCAAAAACCTTCAACCCTAATCCTTGAACCCGAATCATCAGCCTACAACCTAAACCGTAGTCCGTAAGCCCCTAAACTCCAATCCCTAAGCCCAGAGGGGGAGTTTTTGAGGTCTGGTGACTGCCTCCGGCGTGAAGCTGTCAGCAGCACAGGAGCTAGAAGGACTCGTAGGGGGGGTTGCTAGAGGCAGGGTTCGGGCTTTAGGCTTCAGGTTTAGGGTTTGAGGGTTTTTAGGTTTAGGGTTCACGTTGAGGGTTCCTTCCAAGGTTTCGTTTTAAGGGTTCCTTGCAAGGGTTCCTGTCAGAGTTTTCTTTAGGGGTCCTCCAAGGATTCCTTGTAAGGGTTCCTTGTGAGGGTTCCTTTCAGGGGTTTCTATTCGAGGGATCATTGGCAGTATCATTCCCTTGTAGTTCCTTATTCTGATTATACCACGGCTAAGTCGTAATGTTATTCCCCTGTAGTTCCTTACCATAGCAGCACTAAACTATTTCCAAGGGTTTAATTTTACGATAAACAAACCATAAACCCTAAGCCTTCTAGTTCCTGATTGGAACGATACTGTCCTATAGGTATCGATGCGGGATAGCTTTTTAATTTTCCTAGTTGTTTAATATAGCACGTGGAACATGCATAGTTTTGGGGGTTGTTGAATCGACACCTAGTATACTATTTGGGTACCTGGATGCTGGGGGTGAGGGATCAAACAAAAAATTAAATAAGGATCAAAAAAAATTAAATGGAAAGATCAAAAAAA